TGGAGGCTGCCGCCGGGGCTTGCGCCACCCTGTCTGTCCGGCCGGCCTTGCCGTCCGCCCCGTTCGGCGTTGACCTGCTTCTGGGTGTGGGAGGAGCGAGTTGCCATGGAGAAATTAGAGCCCCTTGAACCGTGAGAGCCTCAGTCCTGGCTGAACACTGGCCAGGGCGGCTACCGGTGCAACAGGACGGAGGGTTGCACCCTCCCCGCACCCGTTCGTGGCCAGCTGGGACGAGCAGGAGGTCCGATCCCACCAAGCTTCGGGAGGCTTTGGCTCCCCTCCGCTGCCCCTCGCTGGTGGAAGGCGCCACCACGGCCCTTACTGTTATCGTCTCCATTTCAGTACGTGATCCCCTGCGACAAGGTGTCGTCTCTGCCTGCGGTCACGCTCACGCTAGGAGGGAAGCCCTACAAGCTCACCGGAGAGCAGTATGTCTTCAAGGTGAGTCCGGGGTAGCTTTTGTCAGCCCTGCGCTTCTCCCCCGAGGTCTAACTTTTGCCTCCTTCACTTGGACCTAAACCATAAAATTCGTAACACGCGAGTGATGAAAGCAAGGCTGGAGCTGGCACTTGAGAAAGCCTGAAGGACTGGGGTGGTAACGTGGTGGCACTGACTGCTGGATCCAGGGAACGTAACCAAAGCATTGCAGTAACAGGACACCCTGAGTGATGCTCTCCGCTCATGGAGGAAAAAAAAGGGTTGGGGGAGGAAGAAAGGGCAGGCAGTGGCATGGCTTTCTGTGAACGTTATGCCCTACTCTAGGCCCTTTTCTGTCTGGTTCTGGTAGATGGTAGCTTTAGGCCAGCCCTTGTCAGGCAGAGGCCAGCAATACGACGTTTAAGCCATCAGATGACGTAGGGCAGAATCAACTTCCACGGACCACCTTCTGCACATTTTCAACAGCGGCTCTAATTTAGAGCAGCACAGGCTGGGATGTTTTTGAATACGTGCAGTTTTACGTGATGTTTTGCTAGCAAGGAACATGTGCATAAGGGTTCTTGGCAGGGGAGCTAGGTTTGGCTTTATGGGAATGGAGAGTTGGGAGTTACTTATTTTTCACAGCTTTTGCAAGCTGCAGATCACAGGCCGAGAGCCTGAAACGCAGCCAGCGTTGGCAGGTGTTATTCCAGAGCCCGTGAGGTTGAGGGCAGGTGGGGACCTACTCTGACTAAACCCCTCGCTCTTCTCTCTAGGTTTCTGCACAGGGGGAGACCATCTGCCTGAGTGGGTTTTCAGGCCTGGATGTCCCACCCCCTGGGGGCCCGCTCTGGATCCTGGGAGATGTCTTCATTGGTCCCTACTACACCGTCTTTGACCGGGATAACAACTCTGTTGGCTTTGCCAAATGCGTCTAAGCGCCTGACCCCCAACTGCCTCTGCCACACACACACACACACTTACACACACACGGAAGCTGTAGAGAATGATTACCAGGATTAGAAACCCAGTGAGGAAGAAAAGAGAATTGGAGCTAGATTTAAATTTACAAGGCACAGAATCATTGTTAATGCCCTGCTAGCTACTTTTTCCTGTCTGTTGAGTAAGTGGTGCTGGGACAGCTCTAGTTGACAACTCCAGCTAGAGTAGCTCCTTGCTTTACTGTTATATCTTCCAGTATTTGTTTTTAATATTGATTCTCAAAGCTGAGCAATGTCCTCTCATGTCTCCCAGCACTGGTCTCATTACTGGAGAGGCGGCTTGCTGGAGCCATCCAGCAATGCCACTATTCCTGCAGAGAAGCTGTGCGGGTGCTCTTGGGTTTGGGCTTCTGCGCTTGGGGAGAGGGAAGGGACAGACTGTCCTGCACATTTTTTACTTCTTCCTCTTTTTCACTGATGAAGTGGGGGAGCGGGAGAGGGAAGCGCGTTCATCTTGATCACTCCTCTGAGACTGGTGAAACAACAGTCGCTAAATCCCTTCTCAATGAATTTGCGCTAGCTTAGTCCTGGGAGAGTGCTTCCCGGGCTGGAGCTGAGGGGGATCTTGTAGCGTGCCTAAGGGAAGTTTTAGAGTCCAAAGGCTCTAATTGTGTGTTTTTGTGTTGTGACAACACTAGTGAGAGCTTGAGGCGTGGTCTAGCCATGCCTGGTCTGAGTCTCTCACAGACCTATCGGGGCAGGGATTCATTGGGGGGCTCCAGCCAGTAGGACTCTTCATGGAGTAAGAATACAAAGGGGGTTACAATAGGGTTTAATAGGAGTTGCTTGAATTCATGTCCACAAAAGCCCAGCTTTAAGCTTAGGGCTGAGCAAACCAGTTTGAGCAAAGTCAGAGTTGATATAAATGCTCTTGAGTTTGGCAAACTTCTCCCAGTTTTCCTAAACCACAGAAATTTCTAACCTCATCTGGAGCTAGTGAGTTGAGCGTAACGTTTCCCAAAGCAACTAAGTGGTCTACAAGCCTAAATCACATTGATTAAATCAATGATATATGTAGGTGTTTGTAAGTCACATAAGAGCTTTTGGAAACATTATTTATAGTGTTTTGGATTGTTCAAAACTCAAGAGACAGTTGACAGAACAGAGTCAGCAAGTCTTCCAGGCAGGAGGATACCATGGAGGCTTCTGAATTTTCATTTGCTCTCCTTTCACCATTTCCCAGTCCTGAAACCCAACTCACCTTCAATACCCTCCTTACATTGTATGATAGTTTCTATATTATTTACATTGGTGAGAGATCTGCTCATTTGCATCATATGTTACAGAAGGAGTGAGGCACATTCCCTGCTTTAGAGAGTCTGCAGATGATGGATTTAGCTGTGCTTACAGCCCCACATCTTGCTCCTGGAGAGCCAAGACCTATGTGTATGGAGCCGTCCGCTTCACTGGGCTGGAATTAGTAGACATATATGCTGGGGGAGCAAGGAGACAATAGTAGCTGGAAGGAAGATGAAGTGAGTTTTAAGCAACACTGGAAAGCAGAAGAGAGTGTTTTCCGTGGCTGTCAGGGAGTGACTGTAAAGATTCCCGGGCATGATAAATCTGCTGCTCCCAAAGCCGCCTTCTGCCTGTTCACAGTCTTCACCTGCAACGTTGCGTTTGGAAGCCTTAAAGACATCTGTGGCAGGCCGGGGATCTGGCTAGAGAACAGTAGCGCATTACCAAAAAAATCAAATGCAGATACTCAGCACCTCTCCGGAGAACCCACTTTTCAAGCTGATTAAATGCCCAGAGCTCTTCAAAGTTCTGCTAAATCCTCCCGCGGCTGCAGGGTTTATCCAATATAGTGGCTGAGACAGAGACAATTTCTCAGGTACTCGTTAATCAGATTTGATGTGGGGAACAGCCTGACATGGAGTTGACTGCGGGTTTTGAATGTGTTCTGCATCAGATTTAAATCCTGGCAGGATATACAGTGTAGCCTAAGAACAAGCCATCCTACAGCAAGTCTGCTGAACGTACAATGCCTTATGCTGTACATGTAGCCTCTTCGTGGTAACCTAATGCTGGGCTGCTTTCTGTCCTCAGGCAGGCAAGACACTTCTAGCTGAGGAAAGAACATCGCCCCAAATGATGCCCCAAATGACATATCTTAGGATAGGCTGGAGGAGCAGATTATTCAATGTAACCACATTTGCAACTTCAGTGAATTGGTCTCCTCCCCTTGTTGTTTTATCTGCATTTTTAAACCAAACTCTAACCGTGTGATTTTTTTTAAATCTAATTTGCTGTCAGAATTACTGTCTCATTATAGAAAATTGAAAAGAAAATACAGTGTTTTCCCCCTTATTCTGAGAGTGGTCTTTCTTTAAGCAGTTTGAAATTGCCAAACTCCTACTCTGTGTTAAGAGCCTGTGTCCCTCAGACCTGTTGGTTTTGCAATGTCTGGCAGTTCGCTTGGGTGTGATGGTGCGCATTTCGGAAGGGCTCCTTCTCTCCTCACTGATAACGAAGCATGCTGGGCGGCTGTCAGGTTTGTCTTTTTTCAATTTATTAAAACATAACCCAGCATCCACAAGGCAACGCGACAGCTTCACCTGGCTGACCCAACACAACCTGACCCAGTAGGTGCTCCGAACATCTCTGCTAGCCAAAGCCTTTTCTTGGGGGCCGCATCACTCTGGCCGAGTGCTGTGGAGGATAGTCCTTCAACAGGATAATCGCGGTGTCTCCCGATCATCTGGGTCAGATAGATAGAACAATTTTGTGGTGGACTTGGGACAAAAAGCATTCCTGTGGTGGCCAAAGCAGGACTCCTGTTTCTAATTCTAGTCCTGCCCTTGTTCCCACAGCACCGTTAAACCAACTGGGATATGGAGATTATACTGTCAGAGCCTGCTGATGAAGAGCACAATTGTTTTTCAAAACGTGTGAAAAATCCATCCTTACGGCCTTGCTGTCTCATTTTTAGGCCTAGAGCTGCTGTAGGGGAGCTAGAGACTCCAGCGCAGAACAAAAGCCCTATGTGCCAGGTGCTGTACCAACACATGATGAGAGCTAATCCCTACTTGGAAAAAAATAGCATCTACATAATCAAGGCAGACAGAGTAAAATCCCATCCTATTTTCTGAGTGCAGATCTGAGCGCTTGGATTGCTCAACAGATTCCCTGCCGGTGTGTCCCAAGTCTCTATTCCCCCAGGAAGCCTTACCACCACAGTCATCTGCTCTCCCAAGTTAAAGAGGTGGATATAACTCAAAAGGTCTGGCTGGGTCCTCCAAGGGGAGAACGTATTGTCAAATGTTTATTGATACAGATATAGGACATCGTTTCTGCTTTGGGGATCGTGCCTAAGCCTTTAATCGTACCATGAGTATTGAACGTTGCATCTCAATAGGAACAATCGCAGGCTTGATCTTGGACAAGAGCTGGAAAAGCCAAGGGCCAGGCTCTTCAGTCTGTGTTTTAACAAGGTCCGGCTCACCAGGGAGTGGAGTGGACCTGACTCCATGAGCAGCCTGAACTTGGTTCCTCGTTGTCTTGTTCAGCTCCTGCCCAGGCAAATGTTCAGTATTACATGATGTCTCCTTTCCCTCCCGTGTCTCCCACCCCTCCCATTTACTGCATTACCTCTGCAGATCTCCCTTCACTTGACAATTTGAAACTTAGTCCTTATTAAATTTCTCCACTACGGCAAAGAAGATAAACACTTTCATTACAACTCCCTCTGAACACTAGGGTGTCTGGCACTGGTCCCCAAGGCTGTCTTCATGGATATGAACCTTCTCCAGCTGGCTCCGCTCTAGGTCTTTTGCCAAAAGCCTGTTCAGATAAGGACCTGCCCATGCTGGGGCTCTTACACCAGGTCACAAGCAAAGGGAGGATTAGACCCCTTGTTTATGGAGATAACATGCTCCTCTGATTGGTGCAGCAATTTGTTGCTTTTGGAAACTATTTTTACTAACCGTGAATGACTAAGCACTTTGTTTGGGGGTTGATGGCTTTTTCCGCTCTTTTTCGGTTTCTTTATTTTTAGGTTTCTTTGGGAGGGAAAAGAAGCAGAGTGCAAACTGAAAGCTAGAGGACAGGAGAGAGAAATCAAGGGAAAGTGGGGAGATGGGATTTACCCTTCAGATCACCTTATTGCTTAGGGGGCTTAGCAACCCACTGAGGAATTTCACCAGGGAAATCATTGTAATAAAAGGTAGGGGCAGGTCCTTCTGATATTTTTCCAGAGAACTGAGGTAGGATTTGAGATGGAAGACTTTCTCACGGGTCTTAAAGCACTTGGTTATGTTACAGCCCGCACATCTCTAACAAGATTACCAGAGAATTGCTCTGGGCAGGAAGCGTCTTTCTGTTCCGTTTGTCCCTTAGCACAATGGGATGTGGGCCTTGATGTCACAGTAATGCAAACAATTATTTATATTCATCGCAGCTTCTCTTTGAAAAGAAAGTATTCCTAGCCCTCCTGGTTGTGGGCTTGGACGTGTGACCTGTGAAAAACAGGAGGAACATTAAAATAACGCAGAATATTGTTTTGTTTTGTTCTCAGCGTCACTATTTTTTAAGCCTATTCACTAATTTTGAAGGGTCATATGAATGCTTTTTGAACTGACGATGCTGCGTATAAGGCACTGTGTTCCAAGCTAATAAACCTTTCATAGCTTATACATAGCATTAAGAAAGATGATGAACTGCTAATCATAAAAAAGACCCCAAAGTGCTCTGCAAACTGTAGGCCTGATCCAGTAGCCACAGAACAGAAAAACAACCATCCAACTTCATTGACCTTTCAGTCCTACTTACATCAGGAAACGTACCCACCTGTGGAATATGACCTCAGACTGCCTTTCCCCAGCCACAGTGGGGCCTATCCAGTGTCCAAGGGGTGTGTGGAGCAGCTTTCCAGTCACACCAGACATGGCTGCAGGATCTAGGAGGTGTTTCTCCATTCCCTGCTGGGGCTGTTTGAGATTCAGCGCAACAGGCCAGAAGATCCCTCCCAAGACTCCTCCTGCAGAGCCAGCATGGGGAGAGAGCAGACGTGCTCTGGTGTTTCAAACAGAGAAGCAAGGTGCATCTCCACCTTTGCTCTCTTCTCTTCCTTTATTCCTCTTGCTCCATCCATTTTGTTTCTCTGCCTCGGGTTTTATTTCAGGATTTTTCTTTTTTTGTGCTCTTCTCAAGGCATGTTTTTCACCTTTCAGTTAACTAGTTTTCTTGCTCTCTCCACCATGAATGAACTGGGACAGGGTTCCTCAACCCTCTTCATTTTTTCCCCTTGCACAGTATTTCTCTCTCTGTTTCCTCTCTGTCTCTGTTCCAGTCTCCCAACACCCTTTTAGCTTCCATCCCACTTCTCTACCCTCAATTTCCAAAGCAAAGTCATGTTGGTCTCACAATCCCCTACGCCACCCTGCTGTCTGCTCCTCCCAGTCTGCTTTTTGACCTCTCTATTTTTCTCTTCTCACCCTCTCTCCCTGTTTAACATATGAAGAGGGGCAGTTCTACATACACAACTTTCACAAGACAAACAAACGACAGGCTGATATTTGGCTGATGGAGACGTGTTCTTTGAGCCTATCACCAGGAGGACAGAAGAACCAGACGAGGCTGTGCTCCATCCGGGCTCGTAGCTTCTCCCCAGACACCAGCAGTACCACATGCCTCAGGGGAATGCCATGAAGGGAATTTGAGAATAGCGGGATATCCTGTTGGCTCTCAGCAGGTTACAGGAAGCTCTAACCCTTCATTTCATCCCTCTAATCAACACTGTATTGCTCATACATGCTGAAGTCATGTCACTTAGTCACCTGGCTTTGGCCTCTGTGAACTCGCCCATAGTCTTCTCTGGGCTAGGCTACACTAAATAAATGTGCATCAGCTGCTTGTATTTCCACTTCATTGCTTAACTTACTTTCCAGTTTGTTAGTGACTATTAAAGATACTGGTCTTTGTATGGGTCTTCATGGTTCCTCGCTGAAAATTTGGAATTCTGTTGAAGATGGACTTTTTATTCTAGGGCCCTGAGTGGTTAGCCGATACGTAGGACCTTGAAATACATTGCCTTTAGAAGGAGAATTAGCAGTACAATGGGCAATTTGGTGCAATCTCGCTTATTTACAAGGTATGAACACAGCATCACCTTTCCCTGAGGACAGCAGGAACAAAAAGCTTGGTTAGGAACAAAGCAACTGTCTAATTTCTGTTTCCTCTAGGCACAGTGTCCTGAGGATCTTTGTGGCTTTGCTGCCCCCAGGGCACGGTCACAGCTGCTTCTCTGCATGTTGGCTTTTCTGCTGGCTTCTGCCTTCAACATGCACGGCCTCCCAGTCCCTGCGTTTGTGACCCCTGAGCCCCCTCAACCACAGGGCCTCCCTGGGATCAAGCCTTGCCTTGGGCAGTAGCTCCTATGGATGACAGCAACCTCCCTGCATAAAAGGGGTTTAATTGCTTCTTCTGAGCCTGGAAGAAGCCTCTCGGCACAGCCACGGCTTTCCTCGGTTTAGCAAAGCCCTCCAGACCAGCTGACAATAGCTGGCCATAGCTTCCAGCTTAGCATTTCCACATATTCTTTTCTGCCTCTCCTGCAAATATCTTAATCCCTGGAGATCATCGTTCTCATCCCATAGCTGTCTATGTTCCTTAACAGCTTCTCGGAGAGAGATCTCGGTCTTGTCACGGACAAACGTAGCACTAGTGAAACCCTCTCTATTTTGGCACCTCTCTGGCAGTGCTAAATCCCTAACCAGAAGACACGTTCCCCTTTTTAACCATCAGAGATGCCTTCAAAGGGACTAAAGCAGCATGGTGCAAACTAGACCCCTTATAGCCTGAGAGTGCAAAAAGTCCCCTCACCACATACTGACTTGTGAGAATAAACTTTGTGGGTGCCACCATCCCAGAGCCAAACTTGCTTGCAAGCCACCAAGTTAAATTACAGTTATTATTTCTTAACTCAGCACTTTGTTGGTAGGCTTAAAGCCGTTACAGAGGATTTCCCTTCCCCTGCAGGTACTGTTCTCATGAACTTTTAATTTATCTAACATAATTTACGCGTCTTATCAGCCCATTTCCAGTGACTGCTCTACCATGGGTTCTCCTGCGATGCTGAGACTGATCTGCTCTCCCTCCCCAGCGCTCCAGCACAACCGGCCGCTGCCTCAAGCCCACCTGTGCCGTGCCGGGCTCTGCCACGGCAAGGTGACACAGCGCGTCCTCACGTCCCCAACGCCGCAGCTGCAGCCTCCCCAATGACCTGAGAGCCGTCCCTACGCGGCACCAGCCGCGCGCCGGCATCGCATCCCCAGGATATGAAGTTACAAGCGGTTTCCGCACAGCCCTCGAAAGCGCCCGAAAGGCCCGCTGCCCGGTTGCTGCGAGCCCCCGCTGGCGCGGGGCGCGGGGCTCTGGCACGCTCTCGCCTCGCGCTGCACACAGGATTTATCCGCTTGCTATCGGATCCTCATGACCGGAGCACAAACGCCACTTTTCTGCCCACGGCGCTGCACTCAGCGCGACCTCGCTCAGCGCTGTCCTCGTCCTCCCCGCACCCCCCTTCCAGGCGTGCTTTAGGTCCTCCTCCGGGCCGCCCCGGCTGCAGCGAGACCCGGCTGCCAAGGTCTCCATGGACCATGCTGGGCGTTAGAGAGTCGGGCTGAGCCTCGCCGCCGGCTGGCACGGAAACCTGCTCGGAGGATGCCCAGCACCGTCAGGAGCGTGCCCAGGAGACGCACTTCTCCAGCGGGGCAGCCCCGGGATGGCTGAACCGGGAGGTGACATCCCCACACTGGGGAGAGGCAGGTGGGCACAGGAGAAGGGCATCGGGGCTCAGGCACGCATGCAGAGGTAAAGAGCATGTTTTGGGGGGGCTGCTGATTGACCTTCCTGCCCCGAGCCCCCATCCTTCCCACCTCGGTCCCGTCCGCGCCCCCCCACCCCTGCCCTCCCCTCCTCCATCAACTCCAGCGCTAAGAAAGCCGAGCCGGAGGCAGTGCTGAGCCGGATATGCAGCGACTCCCCGCATTGCTCCCGGTGAGTGTCTCGCTCTCCTCTCCTGATGCCTTCTGAGGAGAGAGATGGACGGACGGACAGGCAGCACGAGGTGGACTCGTCTCTCCTAATCGCCCGGCGAACAAGGGAACAGGGGGGGGG